CATCGGGCTCCCTGCTCAGCGGGGAGCCTGCTTCTCCCTCTGACCCTCCTCCCTCTCATGCTCTCTGTCTCTCATTCTCTCTGTCTCAAATAAATAAAAATAAATCTTTAAAAAAAAAAAAAACACTGGGCAAAAAAATGCATAAACAATTCACCAAAAAAAAAAAAAAACCCACAAAATAGAACAGCACATAACCATATAAAAAGATGTTCAACATCATTAATTAGGGAAATGCAAATTAAAGTCATAATGAAATACTACTTTATACCCACTAGCATAGCTATAATCAAAAACACAGATAATAACAAGTGCTGCTGAGAATGGGGAGAAACTGGATCCCTCATATATTACTAGTAGGAATGTAAAATGATGCAGCTATGCTGGAAAACATTTTGATGATATTTTTTAAAAAGTGAGACATAAAATGAGCATACAAACCAGCCATCATACTCCTATTTACCAAGAGAAATGAAAACATATTCCCATAAAAAGGTACACAAATGTTTAAAGGACCATTATTCAGGGGACAGACACCTGGGTGCTCGTCAGTTAAGTGTCCAACTCTTGATTTAGGCTCAGGTCATGATCTCAGGGTCAAAAGATCGGGCCTCACCTCAGGCTCTATCCTCCGTGAGGCATCTGCCTGAGATTTTTTCCCTCTGCCCCTCCCCTGTCACATGGGAGCATGAGCTCTCTCTAAAAATAAATAAATCCCTAAAATAATAAAGGAGCATTATTCATACTAACCAAAGACTGGAAATAATCACAATAGCCAACAACTGGTAAATGGAAAAACAAAATGTTGTATCTACATAATGTAATACAATTCTGCAATAAGAAGGAATGAAGTACTAATTCACTCCACAATGAGCCTCAAGAAAAACAGTATAGTGGGGCGCCTGGCTGGCTTGGTTGTTAAGCATCTGCCTTTGGCTCAGGTCATGATCCCAGGGTTCTGGGATCAAGCCCCGCATCGGGCTCCCTGTTCCACAGAAAGCCTGCTTCTCCCTCTCCCACTCCCCCTGCTTGTGTTCCCTCTCTTGCTGTGTCTCTCTCTGTCAAATAAATAAATAAAATCTTTAAAAAAGAAAAACAGTATAGTGAAATAACTGGAAGAAACTAAATGAAAAAGATGACTATCATAATTCCATCCATATGAAATGTCCAAAATGGGTAAATCTATAGAGAGAAAGTATATTAGTGGGACTAACACTAGGAACTGACTACAAATTGGCAAAGGGGATCTTTCTGAAGTGATGGAAATGTTCTAAAACTGGACTGTGATGATTTTCGCATAACCCTGTCAATTTCCTAAAACTCACTATAAAAACAGATGAATTTTATGATAGGTACAGTACCTATACCTTAATAAAACTGCTAAAAAGGAGAGACACAATTCATATGTTGCAACAATATTTACAACATTTTTTATTTGCTCCAAGTTTCTCACATTGTAAAAACGCTCTTTTTTCCCAATTTGAACTACTTCTACCGACTATTCCTCAAAATTTTGACTCTCCTCCCTCTTTTCTTTATCATGTCTTTAGAATGTATATTCCTTATACTTTGTTTTTAAAGATTTTATTTATTTTTGAGAGGGAGAGAGAGAGCGCACAGAAGTGGGAGGAGGGGCGGAGATTACTGCATTGGCAAATTTAACATTCTCTTAGGCAGTCTTATGGAGGAGGCAGCACTAAAAGGATTAAAAGGAAAATCCAGAGCTGTAGTTTTACATACTGGATATAGTCTATGTAATGTCCTGACAGTGGGAAATAGCACTCCTAGTATGACCCAGAATTTATAAAGCTATGACCAATTCTAGGCAACATATTTTAAGGGGATCACGAACAAAGAATTTTGCCAGAGATGAAAGAATGGTCTGGTAATAAATCTAAACACCATAACACACATTGGAAGAATAAGAAGTCATTAGCCTGGAGACGAAAAAGAGTAAAGAGACACCATCTTTGGCTTTCAAATTCATGAAGGGTTGGGTTCAACTGAGATTAACTCCACAGGGCAGAACTAAAATCAATGCACAAAAGTTAGAGTAAAGAAAAAATATGACTCATTCATATAATTATGAATTTTCTAACACCTTAAAACTATACAACTCTGTTCAAGCAGAAGATATTACTACCCAAATTAGATTTAAAAATGGATTTCTATATGGACAAACACCTAAATGGAATACTGGAATAAACAAATATTTCTAAGATACTGAAAAGCCCTAAGCTATAACAACTACTTCTTTCTAAACATGAACATCACTAACTTGTTTTTTCCCTATAAAACATGTTAAATGAGGTCTTCACATTATCGGCATCAAGAGTGCTTTCTGAAAACGATCAATACCATGCTCTTCACTATTAAATTTTCCCTTATAAATAGTACCCTTCTGCATGTTGTGACACTAATACTATGTGCTGGTATACCTTCTAAAAAACAAATGTTTCAACATACTGTTCTGAAAGCTTATTCAAGACTATACAAATGAAGCTACAAGGCAAAGAATTTCTAGTAAACACTTCAAACCTAATAGTCACAATTATTATCTACCATATAAGCTGCTGCACAATAAAATGGTACACTTATGTATAAATTAATGTTCCTACTTACGTTTCTGTGTCTGATACCAAGGATTCATTATTGCATACATCATTGAAGGTGTGAAGTTGATTCTATAATTAGAGAAAAGAAATTAAAGTGTTTTTTTTTACAAATTTTTTCTGGTATGTTACCAACTGTCAAGAAACATGGTTTGATATATATAAAATCAATAAGCAGATCAAAATTGTAAAATATAAGACAATAAGAATTTCACACACACTTACCAATTAGTCTGGTTATTTCACCATATTAAAATAAATAATTTCATACTATCAGTAATACTCATGCTTTATTCCACTAAATACATGAGAAAAAAACAAGAAAACAAAGCTAAATAAGGGAAAAATACAAAAATCTAATGCAAGCAAGTGTATGTCACCACAGACATAAAATTTAAGGAAAGGATTCTTCAATAAATTCATTTAAGATTTACTTTAGAAAAATGTCAACAAGTACTCTCTATATTTACAAAGTCCAATACCTGTGTAAAATCTAGTTACTCCAAGAATAACACTACAAAGGAGTAAAGTTCATAGAGACCTTGGTAAACCAGAAAAAGCATATCCATTCTAAAGGATTCAGCTAACTACTTAGCTCTAGCAAATTACTATTATGCAAGAATACAGACTCATGGATACCAGGTCTTCCTCCCCATCTCATTCCCAAGACAGTAATACATATTTCTATTTAAAAAATTATTTGCAGGGTTTCTGGGTGGCTCAGTCGGTTAAGCGTTGCCTTCAGCTCAGGTCAGGCTGTTTAAATCCCAGAATCACCAGTCTTGTCCCTTTTATTTTCACTTATCAATTCAATTTTCAAAATCATCATAAACAATCCTTTTACCAGTAACCATCATACCATCATTCCTTTCCAAACTACTCCTATCACTTTACATAGAGGTCTTTGCAATACAACTTTGCCACTCTTCCCATCAAGAGGTATCATCTATTTCTCTACTCCCCTGAATCTGAGCTTTGCCATGAAAGTTGCTTTGACCAATGGAACAATAAAAGATGTGACATAAACAGATGCTTAAGAAGCCTTTGAGCTTGCCCTTTCCTGACGGGAACTCTTCCATCACCAAGAAAAGGAACCCAGGTTAGGCTGCTGGATGAAGGAGACATGGCTGATGCCCCAACTAACATCTAGCCAACTGCAAGATGAATAGGAACTCCACTCCACTTCCAGTAACAATCAGTCTGTAAACCAGAGGATATATGAGTGAGGTGCTATCCTCAGAGCATGCAGGTCCAGCCAAGTCAGCCCAGGACAAAAGAACTAGTCAGCCCAAGAACTGTGAGAAATAATAAATGGCTGTTATTTTAAGTCACTAAGATTTAGGAGTGGTTTTCTTACACAGCAAAAGCAAACTAATACAAAGGTTCCATCCTCAACACACTTCTTTTTGCTTTCTAGATTCTCTCCCCAGATAACCTCTCATTCACTTCAATGAGGTGTTCAATAATTGCTCTTCTTATTCTGATAACTCAATTAATGATACTGTTCTTGGGGCGCCTGGGTGGCTCAGTCGTTAAGCGTCTGCCTTCGGCTCAGGTCATGATCCCAGGGTCCTGGGATCGAGCCCCGCATCAGGCTCCCTGC